ATTTGAAAGACAAAAAGTTGTATATGAGAGATGAAAAGGGAAGATTGTTAGCCAAAGTACCTATGGCTAATAATAAAATGTTCATCTTATATCTTTAAAATGATGTTCCGAGGTGCTTGGTTTCATGTGCCAAAGATTCATCTTGGCTTTGGCATATGAGATTTAGTCACTTGAATTTTGATATCCTAAGGTTGATGAAGAAGGAAAGCATGGTGATGGATTGCCAACAATTGATCATCCCAACCAACTTGGTGAAGGATGTCTCTTTGGAAAGCAAGCAAGGAAAAGCTTTCCTAAAGAGTCTTTAACAAGAGCAAGATGCCCTCTCGAGTTAATTCACATGGATGTGTGCGGACCTATCAAGCCATCTTCACTTGGTAAAAGTAATTATTTTTTACTTTTCATTGATAATTTTTCTCGAAAAACTTGGGTTTATTTTTTGAAGGCAAAATCGGAGGTGTTTGAAACCTTCAAAAAGTTTAAGAGCATGGTGGAGAAGCAAAGTGGCTATCAAATTAAGCCACTTAGGTCCGAATGGTGGAGAATTCACTTCAAATGAATTCAAGATTTTATGTGAGAAAAATGAAATTCGTTATTACTTGACAGTTCCGAGATCACCACAGCAAAATGGCATCGTGGAGAGAAAGAATCGAACTATTCTCAACATGGCGAGGAGTATGTTGAACAGCAAAAATATGCCAAAAGAGTTCTGGGCTGAAGTTGTTGCTTGTGCGGTGTTCTTATCAAATCGGTGTCACACCAAAAGTGTTCGTGGAAAAACACCACAAGAGGCATGGAGCGGTTTCAAGCCAAAAGTTGCTCATTTGCGAGTTTTTGGGAGCATCGCATATGCACATGTGTCAGATGAGAAGAGGTCTAAGCTTGATGACAAAAGTGAGAGGTATGTCTTCATTGGCTATGATCAAAGTTCTAAAGGTTATAAATTGTATAACCCCAAAAATGGCAAGGTCACCATAAGTAGAGATGTTGAGTTTGATGAAGATAATGCTTGGGATGGAAATCTAAAGAGCAAGATTACTCTTTTAGTCCATTCTTTGAAGATGATGAAGAAGAAGATAGGGAGCAGGCTATCACACCACCTTCAACACCTCCGCCACAAGATCAAGAAGTTGGGGAATCAAGCTCAAGTTCAAGTGAAGCACCTCACAAGAGTAGAAGTCTCTGTGACTTGTATGAAAATACGGAAGTGGTGAGAAATGACTTATATATTTTACTCATTTTTGTTAGCTGGTGGACAGTGAGCCTCTAAGCTTTGAAGATGGTTGCCAAAATTCCAAATGGAGGGATGCAATGGATGAAGAATCAAAGCTATAAAAAAGATGATACATAGGGATTAGGGTCACACTTCCAAAAAGGCAAAAGCACCGATTGGAGTCNAATTTCAGCTCTAGAGCTGAAGTTTTTTTTTTATAACTGTCGAACTTCAGCTCTAGAGCTTTAAAGCGTTTTTTTTTTTATAACTGTCGAACTTCAGCTCCAGTAGCTGTGAAGTTTTTTTAGATAAGTGTTGAAGTTTTTTTTGTGATTGGCTAACTTTAGCCTTGTTAGAGTTGAAGTTTTAATTATTTTTTTTTATAATATCCTGTAGTGAAATTTTCACTACATGTATAAAAAATTTTTGTGTTTTATATATAGAAAAATTACTTGATGTATTCCCCCTCTTTTATGAATATGCAGTGGAAGTTGAAACTAGTTGTGGTTCAATTGCCACAACTCAAAAACTCTGTGATGATGCTCATTTGAATGAAGGTAAAGTTGAGAAAACCCTTTCAGAGAATACTGCAATGATTGTCGACGTTGATTCAGAGTTGAATGATGCTGGAAATGCTGATATTGAGAAAGGCATGCAGCCTGGGGAAAGCACAGCGGAAGACAAACGTGATGGTATTCTATAGATCATGAATTTATTATATTTGATCGAAGTATATTTTCTACATTTTTTAATTTTACATATTTTATTTTCTTTTTTATATTTTTGAATGATTTTTCAGAATTATTGGATGCTGGTCGAAAAGAATTCGGTGAGATTCTGAAGCAATATGAAAAAGGAGAAATACATATATTCACACCTGTTGAGTCACAGACAGGTGTGAAGTGTGTTGGTATTATTTTATAAAATTTAGTGAGTATTATTTATTAAATTTTTTTTTTTTGCATGAAGATACAGGATCTGTTGGAATGAAAACACCATCTGTGTCACAACACTTAGACCAGGTAATTAATTTCTGCAATTCGATTACTGTCTTTTTTTTTTGCCTAATGTGTATTCTGTATCAGTTTTATTTATATTTATATTTTCCTTGCTTTTGCAGATCTCATCTGATGCATCAGAACTGCTTCCAAAATCTAAGCGAAGGAAGATTTCTAGTTCTCCTATGTGTGATACCAGTGATATCCCTAACTTCAATATATGTTCATTTTCACTTGGTAGTACACAAAGGGCTGATTCAGAAGGTAATTCAGCTGCTGTTGGTGTTCGTAAAGAGACAGAAGAACGTCGTGAACAGCAGGGAATTGATCAAGCATCCCCCACGATGGCTGTAGTTCCCCACCCTGCTGCTGTAGAGCACCATTTAGTTGTGACGGATCAGCAGGAAGAGCAATCAAAAGGAAAAGAAGATAAAAAAGGGAAAAGGATGCGTATGGAGAGTATTTGGTTGAGATCTCCTTATGTAGTTTATAGGAAAAAGCCAAGGGGGCAAGATTGGATAGTAGGAAAGAATAGAAGAAGGTGTCCCTTCCATTATGTTTCTCAAGACAGCGCATTGATCCAAAGATTTAAAAAGTGGTTGGAGATGGATGCCGGTGAATATGATTCCAATCCATTGAGATTAGCTGGACTTCATATTCAAAAATCATTCTATACCGAGCTTATGGATCCTGACTCTAATCTTGCGGATGAAGTAAGTTATTAACTTTGTTTTTTGAATTAGTTTTCAACTATATTTCCCAAAACTTCAGTTTATTTTTTGTAGTATAGCTTTATTCATAGTAATCTGCTGAAGTTTTTTAGCTTATTTGCTAAAACTGAATATGCTTAAGTTTTTTTCATGCTGTTTTGTAGTTGTGTAGTGTGTTTTTTGTAGACTTCATAGTGGTAATTTCACATGTTATCATTTGTCGTTGTCCATTTGTAGCATATTGACGTGGGCGCATATTACTTGCGCAAAAAATATTGCTATCACCTTCCACATTATACAAAAGCAAAATGTGCAGTAACAGATTTACTTTTCGATCAATATATGACTATCCTGGATAGTGTTCATCCTTCAGAAGAAAAGTTGAAGATAATTGAGAAAAGGAAGCAAAAGAGAATGCAGATTCTTAAGAGCAAATCAAAGAAAAAGATAATATCCAAAGAACAGTTGAAAATAGAAGAAGAAAAAGAAGCGGTTATTAAGCCACATACGGACTTTTGTTGGTATGAGGAAGAATCAACGAATGAAAAGGTGTCCACTACGTAAAAGGCCTTGACCTTTCCTGTGGTATCTCATGGGCATCTTGCAAAAAAGTATTCTTTCCATTTCGACTTAAGCCAAGGGAGGGCCAGATATCTACGCACTACTTTTTTGGATATCTCGACTTTGAAGATAAAATTATATATGTGTACGATTCCATGGGCAGTGTAACATACAAGCGTTCGATTGAACATGTCAAAATTTATGCCCGATTGATTCCACATTGTCTCAAATGCTTAAATTTTGGGGAACTTAATAAATATTATGTGGACAGTCCTGTGGAAGAATTTAAAATTAAGTGGATGCACACACCGAAACAGATTAACAGGTATGTGTTTCACATATGTTTTACGATGTATCTTATGTTTATTATATTTTGCCCTTGTCTTAACTATTCTTTAATTTCTTTTTGATGTGTTTTTTGCAGTGTTGATTGTGGTATATTTGCTCTTAAGTTTATGGATATGCGGTTGATGAGAGAAGATGTCTTCAATTTTAATCAAAGTCAAACATTGGAATTCAGGACAGAATTGGCTGCCAATCTTTGGGCTCATGGAAATCGGAAAAAAGATAGCGGCTATGAAACTCCAGAAGAACGAGAAGGACATGATTATGGAGATTTTGAAGAGTCTTTGTGTGAACTTTTTGATTAGAGGATTGGTTGGTTTTACATAATTTGGATTAAAGAATATATATTAATTATTTTTTTAGTTCACTTTTGTGTCATTTACCAACTACTAGTATTTACTATTTTTTTTTATTGCATTTACCACTTACATCTTTTGCCAAGTGCTTATGTTCTTACATTCAATTTCTCTGAACAAAAAACAGGTAACAATCTCTTCAGCATTTATAGATATTAAATTGAGTAGGTGCATTCTTTGGCTATATTAACAATCTCTTCACTTGAAAATTTCATAGTCATCCATAGACTTCTATCAGATTTCTTTAAATTTGTTTTCAAAGAAAAACAAGGAAATGTTGGCTAAGACATGCTTATTGGGTGTAGCAGGGAGTTCGTGTGAAGCAAAGATAGTGAAGGAGAAGTTGAAATACTTCATATGTGAAGGGGATTGGCCATATCAAATACTCGAGCACCAGGAAAATTTGCTCTTTTAGGAAAATGAGCAAATTTCCTGGTGCTCGAGTTTTTGATGTGGCCAGTCTCCGTCACATATGAAGTACTTTGGACTTCTCCTTCACTATCTTTGCTTCCCACGAATTCCCAGATGCATACCAGTAAGCATGTCTTGGCCAACATTTTCTTATTTTTTTCTTATGAAAGTAGATGGTAGTTGCTAAAAAACCAAGAAAACTCTTTGGTGGAAGACATAGTGAAGTTTCATGTAATGTGGTGAAGAAAACCAAGAAGAGCAACTATCACATTACTATGGAGAATATGAAGACACTCTGTGAACTTTTTGAATAGAGAATAACTTGTAAACAAAGAACTAAGTTTTTCTTTTTTTCCAAGGATGTAAGTGAAAAGAAAATTGTATTTTGTGAATATACATNTTTGAGTGTTTGTTTATAGTTATCTTGCTCTCCCAAAAATTTCTAACACCGTGGCCCTAACTCAGCTAATAAAGTTTTCCGGTTCTATGCATTCAAAAGCGACATCAAATGAGAGAAGGATAATGAAAGATCTTTTATTGACTCTGATCTCTGTGTTCTTGGCTCAAATAAGAAAGAAGTATACCCTTGTTACACGTTTGCCTCAACTTGGGCATTTTATTCTTAGATATCTTACCGCCATTTTCAGTAGAATCATTGGATATATATAATGATGAGACTTTATATATTACAATTGCAGGGAAAAGGAGGTTGAAACTAGTGATTTTCTGGAAGCAGCAAAAGCTTGTTTAAAAATCTGCAGAGTTCATGGTGTTCCTCTGCTGATCAATGACAGGATTGATGTAGCTCTTGCTAGTGATGCTGATGGTGTTCATATTGGGCAGTCCGACATGCCTGCTCATGTTGCACGGGCTCTTCTTGGGCCTGACAAAATCATTGGTGTATCATGCAAAACACCGGAGCACGCCCTGCAAGCATGGATAGATGGGGCTGATTACATTGGCTCTGGGGGTGTATATCCAACCAATACCAAAGAGAACAATAAGACGATTGAAGAAATGCTGGAGATCGCCAAGGAGTCAACCAAATGGGCAAATTGAAGAAATGCTGGAGATCGCCACACACTTCCAGTTCCAGGCAAAGCAACCTCAACTTTTATTTCTTGATTAAACTTATGAAAGTAAACACTTGTGTGTAGAGAAGTAAATGCAGGCACTAGGTTTCGATATCGTTTCATTGATGCTGGTACAGTAGGAGATTGAAACTAAACATATTCTTGAAGTTCAGTACGTGTTCATTGCCAAGGTTGATGTTTTACTTTGCCTTTCAAGTTTTTTTTTTGGAAGTCATATGCCTCTCAGAGACATCTGATCTTAGTCTGTTATATACTCCCTTGCCATTTCAGGTGGATTTTTGTGTTGGTATTGGTGGATCTCTTGTTAGTTCAATACTTCAGCCGGAGTCCTGGAGATATGTATCGATGGACAATAATTGCGAAATCTAGTTAATCAGTTGTTTTAGCGATGAAAATAAATTCAAATTTTATGTAGTAGATATAGAGGAAATATTTAATATTTTGTTTGGGATGTTCATCTACTACTTACAAGTAGGGGTGGCAAACGGACGGGTCGGGTCGTATATGGTTTGGGTCAAAAACGGGTAATAAAAAACAGGATAAATTATCCGATCCGACCCATATTTAAAATGGATAAAAAACAAGTTAACCGGCGGATAATATAACCATAAATCATAATATCCATGACTTCTTGCATATGATTACTTTTGGGAGAAAATTCTTCCTAACTTGAGAACCCCCAAGTTGAGGCTTCACAAATGTAAAAGTTAAACCCCTTGGTTATCCATTAGTTACCCATTTTCTAAATGGATAATATGGTTCATATCCATATTTGATCCATTTTTTAAAAGTTCATTATCCAACCCATTAGTGAATAATATGGGTATTAACTGTTTTCTTTTAACCGTTTTGCCACCCCTACTTACAAGTAAACCTAGTATAAATTAATATACCTTGTGTTCTAATAGTTGGACGTTTAATAGCAAATAGTGATAAAATGAAGGATTGTATTTGGGATAAATCCCCCTGCCACCCCCACCCCCAAGAAAAAGTAAAGATAGAAAAGAAAAGAAAAGAAAAGAATGACATGGTGTAAATGATTATAATGTAGCGAAGAATTCGCCATACTTCCAACTTGCACATGTTCTATCCAGACACATTTGCTTGATATAGTTCTAAAATGATTGTTTCATGCCTTTGAGCTAGACTTTTGGTCATACCTCGTGAACAATTTGCTTGTTACGTATAGCAACGGAACTCCCTTTCTTTGTTTGGATAGACAAGTGTCACAGGATTAAAAGTTTAATTGCCATTTTCGTGACTCACGTACCAACAATTAATTTGTATCCTCTTACGTTTTATGCTAGCTTTTAAAAATTGAAAAAGACAGTTCTCGTTTTATGGGCAAAAAGAATTCTACGTTGTCATAATGCACTTTCAGTCAGTTGAGTTTTGATATAATAAACTGCAATCACCCAAAACAAGAAAACATTTAAAAAAAAAGAATAGTGATAGGTTTAGGCCTTTGCCCCTCTACTCCTAGTGGAATCTTTGAACAATAGTAAACCAATAAGAATCCAAGACAGCAACTATAGTTTTTTACTTTCGTTATATTCACGGCTCATCTTTTTAAAGGAATTGCTTTTCAATTGAAAAGTACAGATGTGACTGCTCTTGCAAGTGTAAATGGAGCTATCAAAGTGTCTCAACTTTTGCTTTCCCTCTTGTTCTTTTTTCTTAGCAAAAGAACAGTCCACTTTATTTCATTCTCCCAAAAAGGACACCTTAAGATAAAGGGTAGAGCTGTATCATTCAAGAAAAATGTTACTCCAATACTTTAAAAGACCCAAAATTCTAATCCTTCTTATGTTTAAACTTTTTATAAATAATACAATATATAATAGTATTTACTAGTATATTAAATATAGGTACAGATCAGTACTTTTTCAATTTTAAATATAAACCAATCCTGATTACTCAGTATCACTATAAGCTTACAATAAATCTAGTCTTAAAAATAAAAATAAAAACAGTCAGTTTATTTGGTATAGTTATAAGCTTTACACTTGCACATAAACCTATTTTTAAGATCGACAGATCACCAAGACCATATATGCAAAATCTTATAGAAAGTGTCCAAGATGCATAGAACAAAACTCACCAAAATCTCCTGTTAATTGAACTAAGGCTCATTGCAAAATGTAGGCTGCAACTTAAGCTCATTCGAGTTTCAACTTCAGTGCACCATTTCCTTTGTCTCATGGTAACATAATTCACAAGCATCCTTACCAAAAAACTCAAAATTTTTACAGACTTCTTGAATTCCACACAGCAGGAAAGAAACAAATTTTACACAACCATGAAATGCCCCACACTTAAAAGAAAGTGCAACTTTCCACAAGCAAAAAAAGATAATGTAAGGCCTAGGTGAAACAACTTCTACACAACCATGAAATGCCAAAAGCTATAGTCTTTCACAAGCCAAAAAAAGATAATTTAGGCCTAGGGGTTTGTCCACAGTTCTTTATGAGAAAATATGATAATGTACACTTAGGTGAGACGAACTTCTCCGCTTTCATGTGCCTGCTTCACTTGCTTTTCATATTCGTCTTCTTCTTCTTCACCCTCTTCCTCTTCTTCTACATCTCCTTCCTTCTCCTCTTCTTCTTCTTCTCCTCCCCAGCCAAAACCTGAGACTGAACGGGAAGCTGGAGCGGGAGTCTTGGCCTCTTCCACAATTTTCATGATCTCCTCAACACTCTGAAGTGAAAATGTTGGGTTCTCTCTTCTGTAATAAGCTGCCTGTGCTGCTTCTGTTAATTCTCTCGGCAAATTCTTCAAAAACCATGGGTGAGACTTGATTTCTTTGATTGTGATCCTCTGCAAAAACAAACCTATTCATTAGACATGCCATGATCTCCTACTTCAAATCTGTTCTAATTTTTCATTTTTCATTTTTCTACAATATGGGTAGAAAATAGGGCGCACAAAGATGAAAGGTGATAATTCATAGTTGGTGCATATATTTTCTGATTTATCATATCAAACATTCTTTAAGATGTTGAAAACTTGAACAGATGACCAAGCAGATGCGGATTTTCAGTTTTCTTCGAGGGTAAGATCGCAAATACAAACTGCCAATATAATCATAGAAACACTACAGAAAATACAAATAACCATTAAATTGAGATGTCACAGTATTTCCCCTGTAACGATTCTGATGCTCTCCCCTTTTGAAAGAGAAGCCAAGATACTTACAAGTAGTACTTAGTACTGTAGAAGTATCTGGATTAAGAAAAAAGAATCTATCCCAAAAAAAAAAGGAATAAAAACTACCCCGAAGCTTCCATTTGATTTCTAGGTGGACAAGGGAAAACAGAACGTACAAGAATAAGGCAGGTAGGTAAGTACCAAGAGGATCTAATAGGCTAAACAACAATGCTTAAATTATGGTACTTTAGGACATTAACTCAATCATAGTGGAGGGGTACTGAGACTAGGGATGAAGCTTAGATCCAGCAGAAAAAAAGTCTTGGAAGGTTGAAGTGATTCTCCATCATGTTGAAGATCAGCGATTTGGTTCAGGTAAGGCAATTCAGGAAATCTTATTTGATAAATGGACAATTCAAGATATGTAATTTCATCTTATAAATTGTAACATCGGTGACCTAATTGGAATATAATCTATCGAATGGAAATGGCAGAAATAAGATGATAGGGAGCAAAAAGCCAAGTATAGATCCGCATTGGGTGAAAACAAATTATGCATTAAATAGGTAACATCTGTATCAGATTGTTAGCTCATTAAGAATTCAAGTAAACTTCCAATAGAACACACCCAACAAGGACAGAAGAGAGCATACCCTTGCTGGATTAGCAACAAATATCCGAGAGAGAAGGTGCCTACAATCTTGTGATATGTGAACATAGTCGGGAATCTTGTACTGTACCGCCATTATTCGCTGGAAAGAGAAACATCAAAGCCAAATTAAAAGGACAAACATCACGTGAAGTTCTTTGGATATGTGAAGCCTTCAAGAACTCACTTGAATAGTTTTCCTAAAATTCTTTGGATCCTCCTGATCTTCAAAAGGATATGCCCCAACCAGCATTACATAAAGTGTCACCCCGCATGACCAAACATCAGCCAGCTGAAATAATCACAAACAGAACTTCAAGGCCTAAGAATAAAATTAGTAAAAAAAGCTTCACTCTTTAAGGAAAGAATGTGGGAGGGGTAAATAAGATGTAATTTATGCAACTGTGGGAGCATCACCTGTAAATTCAACAAGTCGTAGAACAACTAGTTATAGTGGTTTCTTAACTACTCATAAGAGGAAAAGAAATAAAGCCCATATATTGCAGATTGTTCCATAAGGATGCAAATGCAGCTCCACACAGATGGATGCCAGACAAAAATCATTTGCATAATGCCCCTCCACCAAATGTAAGAGATCACATAAGTAATTACACAGATACCTTGCCATCATATTCTCTTCTGGATAGGACCTCAGGAGCAATATAAGCTGGAGTCCCAACAGTTGATTTTGGCCTCGAATGCAACAGGGACGACTGCGATTGCATAACAAAAACTATGAGCCTTTCCTAGGGGGATAATAAGTCTATGTATATAAATCACCAGAACATCATCAACCTTTGAGTATCCAAAATCACATATCTTCAAGCGTGGAGCTGGACTTCCATCAAGAAGGGTATTCTCCAGCTTCAAATCTCTATGGCATATTTGCTGCAGAGGCAATGGAAGTTTGAAGAAGATTAAGCTCCTTCAAACTAAAAAGATGGCATTTGCAATAAAACTTATACACATAACTCCAGGCCTAAGATGTATCTAAATTTCTGATCATATGTTCACACATAAAGTTTTTTTTTTTTTTTGGGTAAATTTTTGTGAGTTTCTTACCATGTTGTGACAGTAGTGGACTCCTGAAATAAGCTGCTGGAAAAAGTACCTAGCCTGAAATGACAGCAGCAAGAAACCAGATGAGAGAAGCATTGAAGATATGCTCTTAAAATCACAGAAATGTGACCTTTTAAAATCACAGACTTCATTACCATTTCTTTATCCTTCAGAATCCTTCTATATGGTAGTCTATGTGAGACTGATTATTGACACCGTTAAAATTTTAAAATATACCTCATCTTCACTAAACCTTCCTGCATTGCAAATGCGCTCAAACAGTTCTCCACCAGCTGCATATTCCATAACAATGGCAAGATGAGTGGGAGTCACTAACACCTGTATCTCATAAAACAAATGCACAACAATTAGGCCAGCTATTCCTTAGCTTTTCTTGCCATTTTCAAAACAAACCAATATTATCAATAGAGCATTGCAAAATAATAAAATATAAGCACACAAACATGCCTCCTTGAATCGAATTATGTTTGGATGTCGAAGTGATCTATGATTAATGATCTCCCTTGCTACATTCTCATCAATCTACAACAAAATGTGACATCTCAACATTAAGAACCTTGGATGATAGTGCTAATTACATGTTTAACCGATAATTAGGGAAAAAAATTAATTGATTTGATGATAAAAGACAGTAATGATGCAAACCTTATGTCCTCTCTCAATGTATTTCATAGCCACAAGCTCTTTGGTTTCCTTGTGCCTCATCAGCCTTGCCACACCAAAATTCCCTGACCCTATATCTTTCACAAGCTCGTATTTATCCATTTTCTTATCCTTCACAAACTAAGCAAACCCAAAAAGGATACCAAATTTGGAAATTAAGGTTTTAAATTTAACACAAAGAGGATCAATTTTTAAAGAAATTTATAAAATTCCCAGATTTTCCCAAAATTCCAACTCCACAAACAACCTAAATTCAACACCTTTAAGCTGAATCACAATATGGTATTTGAAAATCCGTGAATTTTAGAAGAATTAGGGTTTCTTGAGACCAAAAAAGATTGGGAAACTGAGGGAAGATGACGAAAACGAAATTGAGGTGGAGAAAAAAGGAAAGCAAAAGATTAATTAGCAGAAATTTGAAGCTAAAGCAAGGAATCCACTAGTGTGTGTATGTGTTTTTTTGTGTGCCTGAGACAGAGAGAGAGATTCTAGGGAATAACAGGGACAGAAGTGCATAGAAGTGTGAAATAATAGTGAGAGAGAAAAAGTGAAGGGGAATGAAGAATATATTATTAAAATTGAAAGCTCAAGTGTCAAAGTCTATTTTATGGAAGTATCTCTGTGACTCTGTCTATTTATAGTAGTAAGAACATATTTTATTTTTATTTTCCTTAAATAATGGATTTATTGAAGTGCTAGTATTGATTTATTTAAAAACTGTGGGCAAAATTTAAGGTTTCAAGGATATGAATTTGTCGGCCGATTTCGGACAAAATTTCTATATACCATATGTGTATTTCATAAGTTATTCAGTGGATCTAAGTTTTCAATAGCATGACAATCATACTTTTCTTCAAAATTAACCTATATGCAATGGAAGATCAATTTTAACTTAGTCTATTATATGTATGTGGTGGTACTAACATAAGTAAGAAATAATAAACTTAACAACAAATATGTACGGTAAAAGGTCATTTGGTATTAAAGTATTTAAGTATTCTTCTTGGTAATAATTGTTGGTATCATCTTCTGTTGAGTCAAAACTGAAGAATATTTTAGTTTTACCATACAACTTAGCAATCAACCTTTTATTTAGTTGATCAATATATTCATTTCTGCTAGCTAAGATAGCTCTTTAATTTCTATAATGCAAATTGCGTTTTAATCAAACGACAGAAATATTTTCTTTATTAAATGCATTACTATTACTATTGGGGTTGATAACCAAGTGTTCTAGAAAAACTAAATCATCTTTTATTGGATGTTCTTCTTCGTTTCCGAAACGAAGTAAGAATCCACTAAATGTTGGATCTGTTCTTACTTTTATATTTCTCGTCATCTGAATATTTTTTACAGTTTCTGCTTTCGTCAATTTTAGAACTACTTATAGTACTTGACAGAAATCACCTCCAAACTATTATCACTTTTAGTTTCCTTATAAATTTAGCACTATTGCTATGCGTTGATATATTTGTGATGGTTATTTCAGTTATTTGTAGAGGTATATCAAATCTAAAATGAGTTGCACGACCTCATAAAAAATCATTGATGGTACTCCACTTGTTCTTATTGCTAACAATAGCATGCCTCTTAATATGACTAATGCAAGTAATGCATGACATAGGAATATTATTTCGATTCCGCCGGAGGGATCTACAAAGGATAATCTCGTTATACCTGAGTTGACTTTTATAATATAGTCTTAAAAGCTTATTCTTGTTCAGGATTTAGCTTTATTGTGCTTGTGATGACCCAAAGGATCATATTTTATTTTAAAATCCGAATCCAAGTTCCGAGGCCTTGAAAACCACATTTTTTTCTTCTCGATTTGCATGTACAGTCCAGGCGCGTTTTCGGAAAGCCTTTATGTGAAATTTAAGAAAAATATTGAAATTTACCTTTAAAATTGATTAAAGTTGACTTCGATTAATGTTTTTGGTAAACGGACCCGGACCGTGATTTGATGATCCCGTAGGGTCCGTAGTAAAATAAGTGTAACGACCCGATCGTTCGTTCTGAGAGTTATAGCCACATTTCCCCCATCTATGCTTATTTATATGTTGTTCAGCTGTGTTGAGTTGTACCGAGTTAGTAGGTTTGGATTCGGAGTAGTTTTGGAGTGAAATGAACACTTAGTCTCTTAGTTAGAAAGCTAAGTTAGAAAAGTCAACCGGAAGTTGACTTATGAGTAAAAGAATTCGAATTTGGATTTTTATGATTCAATTAGCTTTGTTGGGTGATTTTAGACTTAGGAGCGTGTCCGGAATATAATTTGGAGGTCTGTGGTAGAACTAGACTTGAATTGGCGAAAGTTGGAAGTTTAGAAGTTCTTAGGCTTGAATTCGAGGTTTATTTGGTATTTTGGTGTTGTTTTGGATGTTTCGGAGGTTCGACTAAGTTCGGGTAGTGATATATGACTTATTGGAATTATTGGTTGAGGTCGCGAGTGCCTCGGGTGAGTTTCGGATAAGTTTGGGTTGTGTTGCGCTCGTTTTTCTTATGTTTCGACGCCGTTTCTTCAAGCATAAATGATATCATATTGAACAAATGAGTTACAATTTTTTTTGATTGAAGCATTAGATCTGTATTGTAATAACGGCCCTGTAGCAAAAAGAATCGTCGAATTTGGACATTGTATGAGGATTTTATGGTCATTTTACTAAGAATTAGGTTGTCAGATTTTTCAGATTAATTACGAAATTGCCACTGACGACGTATTTAAAAATCTGCACTATTTGCAAATATTAAAACCTACATATCTCCTTCGTTATAAGGTCAAATTTAGTGATTCAAAAGCCTAACTTGACTAGAATTTCACAAGGAATCCATTGGAGGCATAAAATACGAGTTTCGAGATTGTTTGACATGAGAAACGAGGCAGAATAGCTGGTAGAAAAATATACAAAACTAGGGTTTGTTCATTCGGTCATATTTTGAGTTGGGGAGCTCGGATTTGGGCGATTTTGGAGGCGATTTTCACCATATGGATTGGGTTAAGTGTTCTCTATTCGATTTTGATTATAATTTATGAATCCATCTCCATTTTTGGGATTTGATTGATGATTTCAAAGTGAAATTGAGGGAGTTAGGGTTTGAGTTTTGGAGAGTTTTAAGTGAGGATTTGAGGGACCAAACGGAGTCCGATTTTGACAAATTTTATATGGTTAGACTCGGGAGAGGACGAGGATTATTATTCTGCCATTTTTGACTGATTTCGAGATGTGGGCCCGGGGGCCGGGTTTTGGCCGATTTCGGATTTTTTGCATGTTTATGTAGTTTTTATTGTGTAATTCGATTCTTTACACTATGTTGATAGTAGTATTCTGATTATGGTTAGATTCGAAGCTTTTGGAGACCGAGTCGAGGGACGAGGACATCCCGGAGTAGGATTTTACGCTATTGAGGTAAGTAACAGTTTTAACTCTGGCTTTGAGGGTATAAACCCAGAGAAAGTGATATCATGTGATTGTTTGGTGATGATACCCATGCTAGGTGACGGGCGTGTGGGTGTGCACCGCGAGAGATTGAGACTTGGTCCGTCCCGTAAGGCCTAATGGTTGTTATCTGTGGTTATGTATTTACTTGTTGTTGAACTTGTTTGCCTTCATGTTAGAGATCATGTTTACCCTTTATTCATGCTCACATTATTTGTACTAAGTCATAGAAATTATTGTACATGTCTACCTCAATCTATATGCTGTGATACTTGATGTGGGTTGTGTTCCCTTATTTGTTGATGATGGTGAGGCTAGTAAGGTACATGACTGAGTGAGGCCGAGGGCCTGGTTGTGAGGATATTAATACCATAGCGCGTGAGTTGTCCGCATAGCACATGAGTTGACCGTGCGGGTCCAGGTATTGATACCATAGCACGTGAGTTGTCTGCGTAGCACGTGAGTTGACCGTGCGAATCCAGGTATTAATATGGTAGCACGTGAGTTGTCCGTGCTTAGCGCTTGGGCTTTAGGAGCCCCTCCGGAGTCTGTACACACCCCAAGTGAGCGTAGAGTGTTGAGTGTATTGAGTGTTGAGTGTTGAGTGCTGAGTGCTGAGTGCTGAGTGATGGAGTGGCATTGCTGTGAGATTGCATTAACTTTTGCTGTTGCTGCATTTATCTGTTAAATTTCTTTTTGGCATTTACTGAGTTATGAAATTTACCTGTTTATTCCTGTTATTTTTAAAATTGTGAAAAATAAATAGTTGGACTATTTTGCTCAGCTCGTCACTACTGCTCAGTTCCTTAGTTATTTCTGTTACTACTGAGGTGGTTGTACTCATACTATACCCTGCACTTTATGTGCAGATCCAGGTGAGTTCGTTGATTTCAGCGCGCTTTAATTGGAGACTTTAAGGTAGCTGCCAGCGTCCATAGGACCTTGTTACTCCTTTTATCATTTCTTCTTTAGACATTTAGACAGTTTATATATCTTAGTTTATAGTTTTAGACGCTCATGACTTAGTGACACCTTGATGTTTGGGACTCGTTTTCGTATTTTATATTATTTATATTTAGAGTTGGTTTAGTTTATCAGGAATTAAATTATTGGAAATGTTTTATTAAATTCTTATAATCAAATTAGTAGTAATATTTTGGGAATAGGCTTGCCTTGTAACACGATAGGCGCCATCACGACCACGATTAGATTTTGGGTCGTGACAATAAGGGACTTGGGCGTATGCCCAGAATCGAATTCCGAGGTCCCTAGCCCGAGAAATTAATTTTTGAAGAAAATTGTTTGCTGGAAAATATAAGGATTTTTAGAAATGGAATAGTGTGTGATCTCGTTGGTATCGGCACGTATTTTGGTTCCGGAGCCCGGTACAGGTCCGTTATGGTATTTAGACCTTATCTATGAAATTTGGTGAAAAACGGAAGAGATTTGATGTAATTCGGACCCTTGGTCGAGAAGATAGAAATTTTGAACTATCTTGGGACTTTCATGAGTTTTGGTGTTAAATTCGTTGTTTAAGATGTTATTTTGGCGATTTGATCGCACGAGCAAGTCCGTATGATGTTTTTAGACTTGTGTGCATGTTTTGTTTGGAGTCCCGAGGGCTCGGGTGAGTTTTGAATAGGCCACGGGGTGTTTTGGACTTAGGAAAAATATTGTTGGTATGCTTCAGCTGTGGCAGGCCTCTAATCTCGCAATTGCGAGATCAGGCTTCGCAATTGCGAGCTCCACAGACTTGGAAATTGTGAGCCTTTCATCGCAAATGTGATCAAAAGGTTGGGCCAGCATAGTTTGCAAATGCGAACAAACCTTCGCAAATGCGAAAGGAGTCTGGGAAGGGAAAGGATCGCAAATGCGATTATTTGATCGCAATTGCGAGGTCTGTGATCGCAAATGCAACACCTTCCTCGCATTTGCGAAGGCAACAGGGATTGTGATGGCTTCGCAATTGCAATAGCCCTTTCGCAATTGCGAGCTTCGCATTTGCGAAGCTCTGGTCGTAATTGCGACATCTGCAGCTGAGTAAAAGGGTCTTGGACGGGATTTTTCATTCATTCTTCAAATTTTCAAAACCTAAACTCCAAGAGATAATTTTCCTAGAGAAAGTTCTTCGCCAAATCATAGGTAAATGATTCTTAACTTATTTCTTCC